CTAAATGATGACCCCCCATAACCTAAATGTCCACTGCTTCTCAGAGAAAACTATGTTAACCCTTCCATAGAATTTGGACCCGCCAAAAAATCTATAAAACCATCGTTTTTGTTTCAGTAAGATGAAAACTTTTCTTCTGCGCTGCTCTAGCTGTGCTGATGATGTCATATTTTGGGAAAAGGATCGCTTCGATTAAAACAGTCATAGCGCCGACCTTTAAGGCGTCTATTAACTGACCGGGCGCCGTGGGGCTCCCAGTCAACATAGCGCCGCATTTATGATGCAGAGGTTTAGTTATTCTTTTATTCTGTACCAGAGGTCACCATAGCAACCGCTGCCTTGATCTTAGAGGTAATGGATCTTTGATAATGAGCATCTGCTTTTGTCTTCGCTCTCCTTAATCGTAGTCTAACTTTTGAACATTTCTGGAGTTTGAGGGTTTTAATCTCATGACCAAACAATAAAATCCCTCCAGCTCCCGAATCCTCAGCAGAGGATGAACTGAGACATTTAAAGGAAAAAGGGGTTTCCTTTCCGCCCCTCGGGATGTAAATGGAGTCGCTAGATGCTGTAGATGATGGCTCCTCATTACTAAGGCTTCTAAGACGCCTCCAAGTGTTCCGCTGCTGCTCTAATTGCTCCCAAAGTGCAGCTCTGGGTTGGAGGTTTGGCGCGTTGGTAGAAGGTTATCGTCATATTTTCCTGGTTTAGATGATGGAGGCTACAGAGCAGCTCTTTCTGCAGGTGCTGCGATGCTGCAGAGGGTTGGTTCCTCTTGTCTTTGACTTTTTTAACCATATTGTGAAACACAGGAAATGAAAATAAGTTTGACTTTGAATGCAAACCTGCATTTCTAGCCTCTCTGCTCGTCTTTTTTTGTCCTTAAGGTGGAATAGTTGCTATGCAACAGCCGAGGTGCATGAAAAGGAGCGATGCTGTTATGTAGATTCGACGGTTTTACTGCAGAGCTTTTGTGACTCTGACTTCTAACCCCCGGTTTGGCGTCATTGTTTGGTGAAACCTGTCATTTTGAAGCTGTATAATCGGTCACTGTTTAAACCCGGCTGGTTCTGAGACTTGGCACACAGCGCACCCTGCTGGAGGTCCTATGATGCTGCACCAGGCTGCAGGGGCCAGAGCCCAAGTTTAGTCCTCAGAGGTATTTGCCTGCTTCAAGGTGCATCCCTGAATAAACCAGTAGCTCATTAAAAGAGAAAATTCAATAAATCAGAAGTCGGGTTTCAGGGAAAGTTTAATTTCCTCTGAAAGGAAAAGTTTTTCTGTTTTCCCTCCTGTGTTTTATTCGGTAAAATAAAGAGTCTAAAGTCTCTCCTGTGTTTGAAGGTCCCTTCCCTGCTTCCTGTCCTGCTGTTCAAACTGTCGAAGGAAACAAACGCAGGTTCGATTCACGCTGTGCTGAACTGCCTGCCCAACCTCGGCACTCATAAGGTACCGGATGTTTACTGGACCTCTGACCGGCGAAGTGAAGGCGTTTTTTTAAACCTGCTGAGTTCATGTGTTTTGTTGCAGCTTTGCGTCCCCATGGTGCTGCAGACTCTCCACACGCTGGCCAGTTCCCCCAAGCTGAGAGCCGTCGCCATGCGCCTGATGGCGGCTCTCTGGAAACGACAGGTGAGCAGCAAGACGCCGGTCATACCGGTGAACCTAGATCGTTTTCATGTTTCTTCTTCCTTCCAAAGGACCGAGTCTACCCAGAGCTGCAGCGTCTGCTGAGCCAGCAGGATACCAGAGTGCTGGTGGGGAAGGACGCCCAGTGGGAGCAGATCCTGGCCAGAGCGGCGTGCATCAGGGACGTCTGCAGAGAAAGGTCAGTCTGCTGGTTCGTTAAAGCCGACCGTGTGCAGCCGTAAGAAGAGAGAACCAGGCGCTGCTAACTCCTCTCTGTGTGTCTCAGGCCCTACCAGCATGGAGGCGACATGCTAGCCGCTATCTCACTCACCCTGCAGCAGTGCAGCCGAGCCGACCTGGCCACCCCTGCTGCTCTGGTCCTGCAGGGCTTACAGGAGCTCTGCAGAGCAGAGGTGACCCTCCTGTGCAGCACATAATCTTTCTCCTCCAGGATGGTGGTCCCTGTGTTTCCTCTGTAAGGCAGAGGATCATAATTCTGCCTGAAGTGATGCCAGGTTGTGTGTTTCTCAGGTGGTGGACATTGTTTCTACATGGAGAAGCCTCGCAGCAGAACTGAGGCGAGACTCCCGTCCAGCGATGGTTAAAGCCATAGCAGAGCTGCTGTCTTTGGTTCCTCAGCTTGCAGTGAAGTCAGAGGAGTATGAGGTACTTCTGCTGCTTCTCTTCTCCTTTCTTCATGCAAAGATGGATCTTTTTAGGGAAACCTGCTCTTTCTGTCAGCCTGCATTGACATAAATGGATTTAGCGTTTGTTTTCTAAGTGTTCCCTTAAAAGAAAAGAAAGGAAAAAA